GGATGCGGTTGTAAAGCGCGACTGCATTGTTAGCAATGGCAAGCCCTGCAGTCCCGGTTGCCGCCATTAACTGAATCCCACAGTTGTTAGGTGAGGCAACTTCCTGCCACTTTCCACAATCAAGTCAGTGGGGAAGCTGGCAGGAAGGTGCAAGTCCCAGAGGCTTGCAGGTAGGCCGGCCGGCCGGCCAGCAGGCAGGCAGGTAAGTGGCTGCTGCTGGGCGGGGGAGGGTGCAAGGGAGGCACCCTCAAGGAGGGTGCATGGGGTGTGAGGGGTGCATGAGGGTGCGGGGGAGGCGTGGTGAGGCTCGGGAAGGGTGCACAAGGGTGTGAGGGAGGTGCAGGTTGAGGAGGGGGTGCAGGGGGGTGAGTGGCCAGTGCGGCGCAAGCACAGAGGGGCTGGGGGAGGGTGCGCAGGTGGGGGAGACTTACCCAGCAACTTGGGGCCTTCCCTGCTGGCTTCCTCATTGACTTTCTGGGGAGCCAGCAAGGAAGGTGGCAAATGGCAATCAGGTGATCACAGGATGCTGCGACCACCGTAAGTGCGAGATGGTTGCCAAGTGCCCAGATCGCGATTATGTGACCCTGGGGGTGCTGGGATGGCCAGAACTTTCAGGATTGGCTACACATACCACTCGTTCAGCATTGTCATCACTTCAGATGGTCGCTGAATGAGTAGTCATTAACTAAGGAACACCTGTACAGTCAGTACGGTGTCACGTATAACCTGCTCTTGTTTTCACTTGCTTATTTACCGCATGCCACGATGTCCTCAAAGAGAAAGGGAAAGAACCCCGGTTCAGCTGAAGGAGGTAGCAAGACGCAAAGGAAAGCTGAAGTAAAATTGTAGTCACGGTCACGTGATTTTCGCTTAACAACTGAGTTGCTGGTCCCAACTGCAGTTGCTAAACGAGGACCGTCTGTGTATTATTGCTAAAAGGAGGCTGAGGAGCTCAGTTACGGCGTCTTTGCCTTCCCATTGTTTGGGGCCCCTCTTTCTTATGAAGCAGGCACTCAGTGAACATTGCAGTAATCCTGGTTCTCCTCCTCCGTGTTGCGCTCTGTTCTGAATTTTCCACGGCACCTTTGTGGCCAGATAGGTTTGCAGCAAGCAAAGGAGCCAGGCCGGGGTGGGTGGGTTTGACATTAACTGCTCTCCGCGAGACCCTTCCATACAAGCTTCGGGTGGCGTGGCCCCCACTAAGGTGACAGAGTCTGGACGATGGATGGAGAGGGGAGGGGTTGCCCTGCACCTTCCGGGGAGCCGGCCCTGGCCTCGCTCCGAGGGACGTTCGGCGCTTCACTCTCTGTGGTTGGTTTCAGGCAGGAAGGCAGAATGGAAGGTGCCCTCCAGATGCCAGCCCTGGGCCGCCCGTTCCAGCTGGGGATGCTCTACGACTGCC